CACTGATCTAACGATAGTCAATACTCAGTAGTATTGACTGTCATGTGAGAGCGCCCGCTGGAATTTTTTTTTTTGATGGGTGAAAATGGTATGGTAACCCCGCCTGCGCTAACGGGATACTGGTGCGGAGCACCAGTGAAGGGTGATAGATGAGAATGAAAACAGGCCAGTTAGCCCATCGTGATGAATTCATCAGGAATTAACCATGATAGTTTCCAGGGGGAACCGCGAGGAGGTCGACCTAGTTGGGTATATTGCTAGCAATGGGATTCTCAGTCTCCATTACTAACAATCCCTTTCCCCCGCCCGCTGGTATTAAGAGATGCTAGGTCGCTTGTAATACATAAAGGTGAAAGATGACAGCTTTAATTGCTCTCTAGAGCACAAAGAGACATTTTTTTTAATATGAGATTGTTAGTAGTCGGGGACACACAACCCCATTGTTAACCTATTTACCCTATCAGGTCGACCTCCACGCGGTTTCCCCAGAACATCATCATTGGCAAACTGAGCCGCTCTTACCATCTATCATCTTTACTGGTGCTTCGCTGGCATATACCAATATCACAGGCGGGGTTACCATTCCATTATAGTCTCATTAAAAAAAATATTATTTGAAAATAATTTTGTGAATCTTTTTCAAAATTGGCTCGAGCCCGATGTAATGAAGTTTTATTAAGAAGTCACAACGTAAAGAGTGAATAATTTTCTAGCTGAGCTTGAGTCCGGATGTTTTATGGGCTAAGCATCTATATACTGTTTTTTTTTTGCTTTTTTTATATTAATTTTATCCAAACTTCTACATATGGAGTAGAAACGTACACACGATCTTCAAAATACACTGTGTCATCAAATTCCATTTTCAAGATATTGTAAGAGGCGATGTGTGGTACATACATTTTTTCACCTTTATGTACCACATTTTAAGCAATAAATTTCACTCATTCATTCATTTATTCATATGGGAACAAATTTTAAAACTATACCAAGCCATTTGGTTAGTATATTTTGTTTTATGAGGGTATCCGATTTATATATACAATATGAGATCTGACGGTACATAATATGAATATTAAGTAGACGTTAATGAATATTTCTTAATATACAATAGCTTTTATTAGGGGCTTAATTAGCAATGAAGTCGGTGCTATTTAATTCTTGTTAGATACTAGCTATCCGCTCCGGCTTCGCACAAGTAGATAGATGGAAACATATATATATATATATATATATATATATATATATATATATATATATTTTTTTAATGGGTGATAATGGTATGGTAACCCCGTCTGCGCTATCCTTATACACTGGCGGGCACCAGTGAGGGATGACAGATGAAGATGAAAGTAGGTCAGTTAGCCCATCCTGACGAATTAAACTAGAATTAGTCACGATGGTTTCCAGTGGGAACCACGTGGAGGTCGACCTGATAGGGTATATTGCTAATAATAGGGCTATTTTGACCCCATTACTAACAATCCCTTTCCCCCCGGAAACATATATTAGTACTATATACTAGGAGGATGACGTAGCGGAGCTGTAAATACATTTAAGATGGTGTTATAAAGTTGGTAAGTGATGAACAAGGTAAGTTAAAATACAGACAAAGTTAAACAGATGTCTCAGTTACAAATTTTAGAATAATGTAAAATGTATATTAGAAAAAAAAAAAAAAAGTAACCGACATAGCCCGAAGGATAAGCAAGTTGAAGTGGCAATGGGCTGGTCATATAACTTGAATAACCGACAACCGATGAAGAAGAATGGTTTTCGAGTGGTGACCTCGTACGGGCAAACGCAGTGTGGGATGACTTCCACTGGATGGAGTGACGACCTCAAATGCATTGCAGGGAGTCGGTGGATGCGGGTGGATTAGGACCGTTCTTTATGGGAGTCTATGTTCAACAGTGGACGGACAACAGCTAAGATGTTGACGATGATTATATACTAGCTTTAAAAGAGAAAATTTTGATACCTTAAGTTACATTTAAGTTCACCAGAGGGAGACTTTGTACAAAAGTCGATTGCTTATATGGGTACCTTTGTTCCATTCGTGTTTCAACCGTGAAGCAGTTGTGTTTGCATGGCTGTGTTTCGGTTTGAAGGGTTGGATATGGCGTGAATTTACTGGGTACAGAGGAATAACACCTGAGTCCTCAGGAATGGCAACGCATGGGGGGTGTCGTGGGCGAAACAGTATACTCTGTTATGTCCACGGTACTGCTCATGTCTATAGGCGACAGTTACCACTTTCCATCAGGTGGACCGTCAGGTTGTTTGCCATTCTAAGTTGTATAAAAAAAAATACATAATTGTAATTTTCGAATGAATTTCTAATTTTCATTTGACCTCAAAAAGAAGGATGTAATATACAATCAACCTCATAACTCCGTTAGTTCTAAACCGATTTGGAAAAATATTTTTTTTATCTGAAAGGATATACTTGAATATTGGTCCCATAGAATTTTTATTTAAATCCGTTTAATAGTTTAGTGGACAGATCAAAATAACTCATTTTGTCACTATGATAATATATTAAAATATATAAAAAATAAATACTGATAATGTAAATTTCTATAAGTGAAAGTATTTTTAAAATCGGTTGAGTAGTATTCGAGTTTATCAATTTTTTTTTTTTTTACTGGTAGAAAGGTGGAATAGTAACGATGGTTTTCATAACCATGTAGAGTTTTTATTGCTAGCAATGAAGCAAAACTAACAATCCCTTTCTCTCAACAATCGTGGTTAATTCTTTGTTAAGTTCGTCACTATAAGTCAACTGGCCTGCTCTGTTCCCCAATTATCAATCTACATTAGCATTTTTTTTTGATGGGTAAAAATGGAATGGTTACGGGGATACGCACCAGTGAAGGGTGATGATGAGAGATGAAAACAGGCCAGTTAGCCCATCATGATGAATTCATCAGGAATTAATCATGATAGTTTCCAGGTAGAACCGCGAGGAGGTCGACCTGGTTGGATATATTGCTACCAATGGGATTCTCAATCTCCATTACTAGCAATCCCTTTCCCACCTGAGTTTACCTATTACAAATAGATATACAAAAAAATCGAATCTTTCCTCTTTATAATATTAGTACAGATAGATCAAAAGTATACCTGATGTCTTTATTTTATATCAGCTGACACAACAGACGTCGTTTTGTCAAAAACGAGTTAGTTTGTGTGGCGAAAAGCAAACTTTACTTTTACCGTTTTTTGACTTTTTTTTTCTCCATAAAAACCTGCCTCGGATTTCAACGAATATTTAAAAAAAAAATGCCGAGTTGGTCAAGTCATTCTGGAGTTTTGTTATTAGTAACATATTCAACGATTCATTTTCAGTTTTTTACATTTATATTTATTTATTTATATGCTTTTGTACATTCATTATTTTAATATAAATATCAGGTTATAACGAAAATGTGTACAGGCGGATTTATCCTTTGAAGGAATTTCTTCCAATCAACATTGAGAACCCGAAGGGAGAAAGTATCTATAGGGTTTGTATATAAAGCATAACATAATATATATACAGAATAATAATTTACGTATAACTATGACTAAAAATGACTAAAATAGTCCTCAGTGATTAAGAATCTATCTTGTGATTTTGAACAATATAAATGTTATCAAAATTTGTTTAGTAGATTAGTTTTGAAAACGAAATAACTGGTTTCCCCACAATTGAAATTGTTTTTCTTTTTTTTTTTTGGAATCTTGAATTATTTTTGCAGAACAAAATATACCTACTATATATTTTTATTTTTTATTATTACACATATTAGAAATATAAGTACGCTACGAAACTTTTTAATCACTCAATAAATTAATTAAAATGTGATTATCATATTTTAATAATATCACAAAATAACGGCACTCGTTTAAAATAAATAAAAAAAAAACTTGATATTATTACCACAATAATTGAATATTAGATGTAACATTACGTGTTTACAGAAAGTATAAGAATAGATTAACTCATTCATATAAACGTCAATAATTTTTATATTGATTTTATAATAAATAATAATAATTTATTATTATTTAATAGCTAAGTATTAATTATTAATTAAGGCTTAGTAAAATATATGATATTTATAAATAATTTAAAAATGCCATAAATTAATATATTAAATTTAGGACAGGAAAATACGTACTTCTCTCTTACTATAAAGTCTTCATTTTTTATAATTGAAGCAGTATAGACTATACATATATGAAGTAATTAATATAAGCAATAGTTATGCAGTGTATAAATTTAGAGCGCATTTTACTTTAAATAGTTTACAAAACAATAAAAGACTACACTAATACAAGTTCAGTTATTTTTAAAAGTATACTGTATTTATAAAATTTTAAATCGAGTAATATCCATGGACTTCTGAACTCTATTTTTTATTATTTCATTCGAATGAAGTTTGTATAAGTTTATTAGTTTCATTTATTAATATCATTTCAAATACATTATTATTTAGATAAATATATTAAAAATTAGATGTACTATGTGTTATAAAATTTTATATTTTGATAGGAATATATTTGGATTTATTTTTGACTTAAGAGTTTGACAGAGGCAATAAATTTGTAACTGGTTATCTACGGTAAAGATATTAAATGATAATTATTATTTAACTAAGACAACTATAAAACAGTTAAAATAATTAATTACGTACCACGTAAACTAGTTTATTTACAAAATATGTTTTTCAGTTATTATATTTATTAAGTAAATAATTTTTATATTATATATATAAAATATGTTTTTGAATATATCAATTATATTCCATTTTATTACAATAAACAATTCTATACTGTATGCACTTGTTAAAAATTTATACCCGTTAAAAATGCAATATTTTATTTGTTATTAACATCGAAGATGCAAAAATAAAATATTTCCACGTGGCCAATAATTTATTATATCTTTTTTGAATTTCGAACACAATTCTAAAACCATGCACACACGAAAGGAAAAGTACGGCAAATCTACTCACAAAAGCGATCCGTCCGGCTGTCCCGTACTACGAAGTACAGGTGTCTACTTTCCGAGCCCCATACTCCCGCCTTATATACTAGTCGCCCATCGTGTGGGACTTGCTTAATGGTTAAGTTTATTAATAATTATTCATAAATATTTTATAAATAGCTTCCTCAGTTTTTGATTATGTTTTTGGAATCATTCTAGGATATGCTAACATTCTATTTTTAAATTAGATTTACGAATTTAACGAACTATTTTTTTTTAGTTTTTCAGCCATTAGATACGTTAGATAAATATCTAATAATAATATTAATGTAATTATTATAATATATATTAAATATAATATTGTCCGTTGGTTACAAGTAATATATAATAATACTATACAGCACAACTTTTGTAGCGTTAGAGATAGCGTTGTCATATGAAGTTTTAGGTTCGTTTCTCAGTCAGGTCAATATAAGAAACTAAGATTGATTTTTTTTTAAATGAATGATAATGAAATAGTTACCCTTTCTATGTTATTGGTATATACTAACGAGGCACCCGTGAGGGATGATAGGTGAGGATGAAGAAGGTTAGCTCATCGTGACGAATTCAACAATGAACCAATCACGATGTTTTCAGGGGGACCCATGAGGAGGTATAAGATATATACTAATGATCCACATTGCTAATGATCCCTTTTCAGTAAGGAATGATTACTCGTTTTATATTCTCGATTACCATATGTAATTAAGTCTTATTGTTTTTTTTTCTTTATTTTGGTCGTCTTGTTGCATGCATTTTTTTTAATGGGTGACAACGGAATAACCCCGCCCGCGCTATCGGTATACACTGTCGGGGCACCAGTGAGGGATGATACTCGTAAGTGAGAATGAATGCAGGTCAATTGGCCCGCCATGATGAATTCGACAAAAATTAACCATTATAATTTCCAGGGGGTCCGCGTGGATGGTCGACCTGAGAGGCAATATTGCTAGCAATGGGGCTGTTAGATCTCATTATTAACAATTCCTTTCCCCCCTGTTGCATGCATTGTATCTATGTCCTAATAATTTATTTCAATAACTTAAATAAACAATAAAATTTAATTAAATATTTATAAAATTTGTATGTGACTGACATGGGAATAAATAGATTTTTGTATTAAAATACAAAAATCATTATCAACATTGCTTCAGGGCATATTTAATACATCTTGTGCCCCTCTTTAAACATCTCTAAAGCCTAACTGTGGTTGCCAATTCGCCTGCCAATTGTGGCAAGTACTAGCAAAATCTCCTCTAGGAAGAGGCTTGTGTTCAGCAGTGGACAGTTAATATATATTTATATATTAACTACTATATGTTAATTATATATATATATATAATACTAAAACATACAGTAACATAAACATACAGTAAAATAGTAAGACTTAAACAGAAATTAAAATAAATATTTACATAAATTGTGATGATAATATTTAACATATATACAAAAAAAAAAAACTAGTAAGACTTAATCTGAGTTAACCTTATAATGATAAAAAAAATATATTACATTTTTATTTGCTCGAGTAAGTAACATTATTAGAATTGTCATAATTATTTTCTTTGTACTGGCAATTTCTTATTAAAATAATTTGATTTAATGTTAAATTACTTTTTTGAATTAAGAACAGCAATCTGTTTGCTCATATTTCCCCAACATATATCAGGTAATAATATTACGCGTCGCGTAATATAATTTGGCTGCGTAAACAAAAATGAGAACCGACGACGGTACGAATGGTACCATGGGCGTCACAGTATATACTGTGGCGTTCGTGTTGCTGTTCATGTTTGTAGGTGACGGTTACCACTTTCAGTCAAGTGAGCCGTCCCTTTGTTATTCGAGTTGTTATTTTAAGTAATTAAAGAAATATATACATTTTTGATAATTTTGTTAATATTGAAAAATAATCTATTTATTTATACATTTTTTTATACAACTTAGAATGGTAAACAAGTTATATATGGAAAGTGGTTTCGCCTATAAACATGACAGTACCAGGACATAACAGAGTATACTGTTTCGCCCATGATACCCCCCATGCGTTGTCATTCCTGAGGACTCGGGTGTTATTTCTCTGTACCCAGTTAATTCACGCCATATCCCACCCTTCAAACCGAAACACAGCCATGCAAACACAACTGCTTCACGGTTGAAACACGAATGGGACAGAGGTACCCAGCAATCGACTTTTGTACAAAGTCTCTCTCCTCTCCTATATTTGTAAACATTTTTGAGTTCAAAGGAAAAGCCGAGATATTATGATACATAGACGACATCATTTTTCAAGATGCATTGGATTTGGAAAAAAAGCGTGACTCTAAAAGTAAAAAATAGTTCTAAATAGATGGAGTAACGGCCTCAAATTGCCATTGAGTTGCAGGGAGTCGATTGGTGCGAATGGATGAGAATAGTTCTTTAGACAATAAATAGCTGAAATGAATTTAATGATGGAAAATATATACCGACATTGCTTTAAAAGATCTGTATCATGATTAACTTGTATATAATAAGGTTTTTTTATGCAAGTGGAAAAAGTGTTCCTGCTGCCTGTTTAATCAAGCATGGCAACTACTGGCAAAATCCCCCAAGGGGAGGCTTATGTTCAGCAATGGACAGTTAAAGGCTGATTTGACAATGACGATGATGTAAACATGGTCAGAACTTGTATAGACTGTCTACATTAACATGGCACACCCATCCAACTTTTTATTTCGATGTATTTTTTTTATACTACTGAGAATGGCAAACAAGCTGACGGCCCACCTGATGGAAAGTGGTAACCGTCGCCTATAGACATGAGCATTACCATGGACATATCAGAGTATACTGTTTCACCCACGATACCCCCCATGCGTTGCCATTCCTGAGGACTCAGGTGTTATTCCTCCGTACCCAGTAAATTCACGCCATATCCCACCCTTCAAACCGAAACACAGCCATGCAAACACAACTGTGTGTGTGACCATGACCATATACAGATATGGTACTATGTTTGTGTTTGTGAGAGAAGTATTATATTCCTTGATCCAAACCTTGTAAATATTTTTGCCTATACATTTTTATTTTTTTGGATTTTGAAGGGGCATGCCATGTTATCGTAGACTGTCCATAGATTTATTATAAGACACCCCATCGGATCAGCGGAATGAGTAACCCTGACATATTAACTTTGAGAGTAATATTACAAAATTCCAAACGATTATTTATAGTTACTGAGGGCAAAATAAAAAGGAGCCCCTTATGGTTTTCGGCCAATCACAACTGACAAGGGTCACCCACAGAGAATTTTAACGATTATACTCGTATGGTAATATTGAGAAGTTTAGTAGACTTCTTAATATTTATGGTGTATAAGTATAAAAATAATATATGGTGCCTCAGAACGCTGAAATAAATGTTGGATAATTAAATTAAATCAAACCTGCAACTCTCAGCCGTTGTTCTTTGTACGCACTCTAACGCTGCATGCGATTGCGTGCTTGTCGATTACTATCGGCACCGCCGGTTCGCACCTGTACTGCTCAGTTTGCTCTCACTTATCAGGCTATTTCTCTGCTCAATTCTCTGATTGCTCAGCAGCCAGATATTGATATATTTAATGACAAAATAGATATATTTTTAAAATGTTGTTTAAAATTTTTAAATTTGTAAATAAACCTATGATTCACTACACGTTTTGGGATACTGTAAGTGCGGTAAGTAATTTATAAATAAATAAAAAAAAAAACAAATAGATAATTAATTTAAAAACAGCGGTTTTAATAATATTAACACTAGATATATGTTTACACTTGTTGTTCCAAAGTATTGTTTAGATAAAGTTAATAGGTATTTTATGGGAATAGGCATTAAATGTTATAATAAGATACCGAAAGATATTTTGGATCTGTCTTTTAATAAGTTTAACACTGTTATTAAAAAACACTTATTGCAAAAAGCTTATTACACACTAAGCGATTATCTGAATTACAAATGTGTATGGTGTTAGTTGACCATGCACGGGCATTTAACGATCATGTAATTTTAGACATAAAGAGTATAGAGTATATTTAAATAAATACACATAATGTTAACAGAGATTTAAAAGAGTAACTGTCGAGTTTCTTGCGGGCTTCTTCTGAACAGATATCAAGTTTTCGAACCTTGCTGTAGACTAAAAAAATGACTTTTTAAAAGTGCTTGCAAACAAGTCTATTTGAATTAAAGATGATTTGAATTGTAACTTGAAAATTTTGAAATAGATTGGATAAAGCTTTTAGTAATATTAATAAAACATTACACTGACCCCAAATGATTAGGAGAAGGGCGAGAAGATGATGATGATGAACAACATGATGACCAGGATGACGAAAATATATGGTTATTAAAAACAATAAAAAAATATTTTAAAAATGCATAACTGTGTTTCGGTTTCAAGTGTGAGATATGACAGTGAAATTATATTAAGTAAGGACGGAAATATAATAGCTTAATTCTTAAGAATGGTAACGTAATGAGGCGTATATTTATAATAAAGTTTAAATAAATAAATAAATAATTATATCCATTATTTATTTATTTATTTGATTAAACCTTAATGCACAGTAAAATTATATGCACATTTGGCGGACATTCACCCATCAATAGATGAATTATATTGTCGTAGAGTTTACTTTGTAAATAAATGTTAGTTAAATTTTTTATCAGCAATTCTAGAGATAAATTGAAATTATTAGATACCTTTTTCAGGGAATATTAAATACATTTCCTACTAGGGAAATTGATAATTTTTTCTAAAGAAATATATATCAAAGAATGACAATTTCGAAGCTCTCATACTAATTTAATAGCTGAACGCACCGTGTCAGTATGGGTGGGTTTAAAATTTTCAACCAACTTTAAAAAAAGGAGGTTCTCAAATCGGTTGTACGTTTATTATATTCTTACTTCATAATTTTTTCATTTGTAAACCGATTCGGATTGTTATTAAGCTGAAAGGATATATATTTATAGACTCATCATTTTCATTTCAGCTATTAACTGTCTATTGAACGTAAGCCTTTGCCATTAGG